CTTTGTTATCACGAAAAATAGTGATTGTGTTACGTGGGAATTGTGGAGCTTGGGGGTGTAAGGGGATTGAATACACGTGGAAGAAAGTATATGTCCGTTTATTAGTGTATCAAAGCGAGAGCAGTCGCGTGCGTGGTGTTAGGTTCAGAGGCTGATCGGAGAGAGAGAGAGAGCGGGAGAGCTGATAACGCTCGGGCCCGTCGCTGAAAGGTGATCATCATACTCTGTATCCACTGCTCATGCGCCGTGAGAGGTGAGTCTTGGGCGCGAACTTGCAAGGGCTCTAGATACTGTACGTCACAATTGGTTCATCATCCTGAATACCTACTTTCACAGCGATGTCTTCTCAACCATAACGCCAGTTATGCGGCACTGGTGAGAGACGTACATTCAACTTTCGTGCTGTTGTTGATTTTTTTTGTCAATCTGAAGCTCAGCTGGCATCACAATACGAACCAATCCGATCTTGCGGGAAACCACAATATGTAATCTTGAGATGTTGTGTTCCTTGAGATATCCAAGCAAGTGCTTAACTACGTTCCAATGTTACACTGAATTGCTATTATTAAACTTACTCAATAAGTTGACAGCAAAACTGATGTCAGATCTAGTACATTGAGATAAATACAACAGAGATCCAATCGCGCTTTGGTATGGAAAACGTTCTGAGTCAAACACCCACTCAGAAACATCCTGGTGATTCAGAGACTCGAGCTGCAATCCTGCTGGCAAAGGAGTTCTGACTGGGCTACATTCGGACATCCTAAATTATTCATTTCGTGTGTTTAATCTATAGCAATATTGATGCCCAAGAATCATTTCACTTGTCCCAAGTCCTGTATGGTGAAATCGGAGTTTAGTTCTTAACACAATTTCTTTTAAAAACAATTCTTATAACAGCAAACATGATCTTAACGCCACTTTTTGTTTAAAGAAAACAATCATTACCTTGGAAAAATACATCAAAACTAGCCTGACTGAGACGTCCAATGAATATTAAGTTAGACGTTGCCTCGGGAGCATACCACACATCACAAACAATTGAGTGTTTGTGAACACGAGTATATCATCCACGAAAACCGCCGATATGATGAAAGACCTTTCTTTGATGTAAAAGTAAATGGAAGAATCAATTTTTGATTGATAAAGACCTATTTGCTGAAGCACATTATGAAGCTTGTGATTCCATGTTGTGTTCCCTTGCTTCAGCCCATACAAGACCTTGTTTAGTTTGCAAACCTTTTGTGGATGTTCTTGGTTAATAAAACCTTTAGGTTGTTGGATGTAGATCTCCTCTTCTAGCTCGGCATGTAAGAAAGCCATTTTAACATCGATGTGATGTATGAAAATCGTAGTCGAGATCGACGCAACGCCGACCTGAAAAAGAATGACGGAATTCTATGTAGAATTACTTCTGGAATACTTTCAGAAAATCCATTACACATGGTTTTAAATATGGCATTACATAAGGGGTTTTAGTTTGGTGATGCCATATGTAATTCCATATGAAAAAACACATAGAATTACTAATTAAAAACAAAATCTTGTTTCACTCGTTCTTTTCAAGATACGGTGGAAAAAAGGAATAATTGCGGATACGTTTGTGCATAGTCCAATACCTCTATAGTTGCGTACCTCAATCACGTAGTTACCCGTTAGGAAAACCTTAAAAATTGAGATTTTAAGGAGGCTCCTCACTATGAATCCCACAAGAAGAGTAAGCATACTGCAACACAGCTTTTCATTGGCTGTAGAGGTTCTTGACTAAAAATAGATAGGTACCTATAGTCCCTTCAAAAAAGTTTAGTCACATCTACACCGTTGACCTATATCGTACAACACAGTGACCCGAGCAGACGTATGTATACAAAAATTACATAAGTCAGCCCCGCATTAAATTATTTTCTTAGTTCAGCGTCTTATTCATTTTTATTATAATTACGATTCCCCACAACTCGTATTCATTTTACGTACAACTTTCTGACCAATTCAAACTACGCAGGCTACCGCTCTTCGGTGTAGCAGACGCCTCACACTTTTCATCTGTTCCGTGACTTGCACAGTTATCTACTATTTTCACAAAATATCCTATAAAACCCATGGTAATGTCCAAGTACCTGAATGTCGTTGGAAATATTCTGATTTCTTCTATCTGCTACATAGTTTTCTATTAAGAACTACAGTATCTTTGCTGAGATATCATACAACCTGCGCCACCAATTTGACGACCCTCCATAAGAGGCTATGTTACAGAATCTATTTTCCAGTTAGTTTTTTTCAATAATTTTGGTGGTGACGAGGTCTAAAATTTTGGGAAAAGACTCCTTGCACCTTCAAGAATCATCCTTTAAAATATCATTTAATACTCCAGTGTTTTGATTTAGTGAGGAGCCGCCTTAAGGCAATTTTGCTTCCCTTTCGAGATATAGTGTTTTTTCTCATTTTCGAAGGCTATGTTGTCGTATTATACATATTAAATACTTTATGCACGTTTTTTTAAATACATGTATACATGTGAACATGTATGTAATGACCGGGACATACAACACGCAACACGTATATATGTATACAGTATACATACATACGTAAACTTTGCCTCTAGTATACGTATGTACAGCTGTTTTTCTCTTCCTTCATCTTTTCTTCATACTTATACCTCAGCTTGAGCAAGCGCATTGGTTCAGCAATAGCGTAGAAACATACATTCCATGTACCTATAATATATGAATCTATATAGGTATAGTAGCAGCGTCAAAGGAGGGGAGCGCGTGGCGTACATGCGAAAGAGAGAGACGGAGCGAGAGTGAGTGTGTAGGAGAGGAGATTGATAAGAGGGCTTTGGCCGCAAGGTGGATGGCTACGTTTTTTCCTAACGCATTTTCCCTCACGCGGCTGTTCACGGTACAACATAAGAAGTTTCACTTCAAAAATAAACAAATACCATTCGAGAAAAAGCATCTATAAAAGTAATTAAATATTTGAAATCCAGTATCGACGTAGTTGGCATTTAGCAGACGTCACTATGTACGAGCTGAATCTTGCGAGTGAATCTTGTTAGACTTAATATATAAGGGGTTTCAACAGTTTTACCCCTGATACATGCTTCACATAATTTAGATCTTTATTTGTTGTGGTGTTGACTCCCAAAGCTGCTCCCTCACTCAAGATCTTGATGAAATCTAGGTTAAGATGAGCAAGTCGCCTACGCCAAATATTAATGTCTACAACAGCACACGCTATAGGCTGCTACAAATTTGAATTAGGTGAAATTATCTTCACACTTTTTAATGTATAGGCATTATTGTATAATTTAACAGCAGACACGATCTTAACGCCACTTTTTGTTTGAACAAAATAGTCATTACATTATTTACTTGTTTTTTTTTAACTGTAAAATAATAGTTATCTATTTAACACACATTCTTAACACTAAAAATCTATACTTTAAGTATCAAACATGCATTAAAACTACAAAAAACAATTAACAAAGTTTGCAGCCCATAACAGGCTATGTAATCGTGTTATCCAGCAGCGCCAGAGCACCTCCTTCTTGCTGTGCAGGTGGCGCTGTTTCACAATACTGCACACAGCGAATAGTTTGGGACATGCATCCCAATTTGTAAGACACATATCTTATACGTAGGGACATGAGTAATTCTATTAAATATTTTAATTTAAAATTTATTTATAAGTTAAATTGCATTTGTAAATTTGTATCTTCATTTAGAATAGTCGTATACACCTATACTTATAAAAAAACGGTTTAGAAATTCATTAAAAATTCAATTTAATGTCAAACATCGAAAATATTTTTTTTCGGGCGTCTTAAAACTAGGCCCGTTACCTTATTAAATTGACGGATTAGCTGTGTACATACTGTCACAACTTCTAGACTCTCCTGTGATAGCCGCAGGATGACGCCCTACACGGATCGCTGTGGTCAGCACTGCCGTTTTGTTAGTGTTGTACTGCCGTATCGGCAGTACATATTTTTGAATGAAGGGACAATCCCACGGTGTAAGATATACAGGTGATCCTATTACCTATATTGCCTACAGTAAATTTTTGTAAATATTTTGTAGTAAAATACTTAAGTTTTTATTGGAAAAAAGGCCAGACTCAGTCAGAGTCCACACCTTAAGTAAAGAACAGATGAATTTCTACAATAAATACGTTTCTATTTTTCCTGGGTTGCACAAAAAAAGCTGAAATGTAAGCAGACTAAGCAATTATTATACCATCAATACAGAAAGATAATTTTATTTGCCTAGCACATTCTACATATTTGTTTCCTTCAACACTTTTATTGATTTTTATTAATTGTGAAAACGAGTATTGTATTTACAAATTTGCAATGTCAAATCTGTTTTAAACTATTTCATGTTCACAGCTGCCCTATATTCTAAATAAAACGAAAAATTTCCAAAGAATCACTAACACTTAAATTTAATTTGGAGTGACTAGATTGAAGTAAAAAAGTTTTGACTAGAATTATAACGTAGATACCAGGTATATCATTATTGTATACAAGATTTAAATACGTAGGTTTGTGGCAAATTTATATATACTCTGAAATAGAGTGCTGTCAAGTGACAGCATGCTTACAAATGTGTCTCCAAATTTTACGAAAAACGGTATTGAGAAGAAAAAAACTCATTTGCATTAGAAATACGAGATACTTACGTAAATTATAACCGTAAAAAAGTATTGCTAGAATATTAACTATCTTTGCTTTTGACATATTTTTACAGTTTTAAGAAAAGATTTCTCAACCTTATAACGTTACACCATCAACTGTAGGTCAATACTTTAAAGTTACAGGAAAACTTAGTAATTCTTCGCACTAGAAATTTTTTCTCCCTTTAAAAGAAGTAATTTCACTAAGTTAATTTTTTAGAAGGATGGAGATTTCTTGTTTAACAATCTTCTAAGATAATTGATTGTAAAATATTTATAAATGTTACATAGAAATGACTAGCTACAAAGTATGAAAATACTACCTATTTAAATTTGATAAATCAATGACATCCATGTCAATAATGTGTATGTTTCTAAAGCCCATAAAAGCTAAATTTTTTAGACATTCACAACCCAATCCTCCAGCACCAATGACAAGCACTTTGCATTCTTGCATTATAAATTTTAGTGCTTCTGCAGCTGGTTCAAAGTCAGGTCTACAGAATGGTCCAGATCTCTCCAAGGTTTTTCTTAAGAAACTTGTTTTACGATGTTTATAATCGTGATTCATAATTATTACAATTTTTAAAAATGTGAAATTGAATGTGTTTAAATGTTTATACGAAGTACCTTCTAAAAAAAGGAAAGTAAGTTTATACTTATAAGAAGAGTTTATCTAGAAACAGGCTATTCTGTACAGATACTACAAACGGTATAATGTCGCACGGCGTAAGTTAGGCCGCAGTCACATGGATAGCGTAACGCGTATCGCGTAACCGTTTCAGCTCATAAGAGTGAGAGAGAGGTAAAGTACGCGAACCTCTCTCTCACTCTCGTGGGCTCCAATAGTTTCGCGGTACGCGTCACACTCTTCATGTGACTACGGCCTAAGGATACCAGTGTCCCACTGCCTCCACTAGTCCCATACTCCCATGTAGTGGGTACACTCCGTTATTGTTGCGTGAATCACAAAACAAAAACGGAACATTTTAAAACTCTCGCACAGTGTTGGCAAAGGCATAGAGGTATAAGAAAGTTATACCAAAGAGGATCTTCGAATACCCCCACCACCAAGGATGGCCAGGTAGAAAAACGGTTGATAAGTTTTCTACACGTAGAAGACACGTAAGATACTGTACAGAATTTCAAGGCTTTTCTACATAGTATTCTAAATAGAGTTTCCGACACTGTCATAACCTTAATTTTAAGTAAATGCACATAAATTCAGTCCACTAAGTGAGTGTAAGTAACGTATTAGTTGTTGAATTAAAATTTTAGGTGCTCTAAGTACAATTATTATTTTTAGTCATGTCCTTATCTGTATTTGGTTTACTTTTCTCGATTCATTTTCCTCTGTATCTCAACAATGTACAGTTGACAAACTTTTAAGAATGTACAAAGTTCAAAAGAGAAGCTTTACATTTATTTGTATATCGTTTTAAGGTTAACAAAATATTTCAATTCCGTTTTCTACGTTTCCTACAGTTTTCTACGTAGTAGACAGTTTCTTACAAATCTACAGTAGAATACAAAAAATTTTGTAGAAATCCCGTCCCTGCCCACCACTATCAAAACTCTCCCTTGAAAAATTTCGGAAGCCAATCAGAGCAGAGCTACAGCAGGAGTGTAGACGAGGACTTATTTCTCCTGAGATACCCATATGCTCAGGCGTGTTCGGTCATTTAATAGCAGGGCTCCCAAATCTTTGAAATTATTAACACAAGCACATTTCATCCAATACAGTGGTCTAAGGGATGGTGCCGCAGATAGAGTCTCGCGGTGCTGATTAATTCCGCCATTTTTAGCACATCCCACTATTTTCCAGTGTATATAAATGTACAGTGTGCCCTCAGGGCCTCTTCTATAATTGTTCTATGATTGCGCTATCCCCAGGCACTTGCACCGTGCACTATCCCTCGACCCGCTGTATCGCCCAATGACCCAAAGCGCTTGCTAGCGACTCTAATAAATAATAAAATCTTGAATAATGACGCAAGCAACTATTACCCAATGACGTGGGGTGCTTTCTAGCCGCTCTAATAAAGAATTAAATCTTAAGTAATAACGCATGTGACTATCACCCGATGACTCGGTGCGCTTACTGGCCACTCTGATAAATAATAATAACGTTAAATAACAACAATAGCGATTATCACCCGATGACCCAGGGTGCTTACTGGTCACTCTAATAAATAATGACGCAAACGACTATCACCAAATGACCCGGACTGGCCACTCTAGTAAATAATTAAATCTAAAATAATAACGCAAGTAAATATCACCCGATGACCCAGGGCGCTCACTGGCCTCTCTAATGAATAGTAAAATGTTAAAAAACGACACAAGTGCCTATCACCTTAAAACCTGGGGCGCTTACTCGCCACTCCAATAAATGATTTAAATGTGAAATAATAACAGTGGCTGCATGGTAAGCGCTTCGAGTCGTCAGGTGATAAGCACTCGTGTCGTTTTTTAACATTTTACCATTCATTAGAGCAGCCAGTGAGCGCCCTGGGTCATCGGGTGATAGGTGCTTGCGTTATTATTTATAAGAGTGGCAAGTGAGAACCCCAGGTCATCGCGTAACAGTTGCCTGGGTAATTATTAAAAAATTAATTAATTATTTGACTGGACAGTATGCACCCCGGGTTATCGAGTGATAGGCATTTGTGTTATTATTCAACATTTTATTATATATTTGTTGTTGAAACAGCCAAACTATTCAAATATATGTGGTGAGGACAGGGTATGCCGGGAGATGCTAAGAAAGAACAATAGGCTATACTTAAGGAAATATATATTCTTTACATTTATATAAATTAGGCTTAACAATGTTAGTTAGCAATAAGCCAACACGCAGATTCCGGCATACAAATAAACAACACAACAAGACACTCGGACTCAGCTCTCGAATCACACACGACGAGCACACCACGCTGTTGCGTACAGTTATAGGTTATTCACGTGAACACGCGACGTTATGATTATACACTGGACGCGAAAGCAGCACACACGCTAAAAAGGTACACGCACACCCCGGAGTAGTACACGATTGATACAATGCCCGTGGGCGCGTTACACATACGCAGAAGCGGATACACAAGAAGGCAACGCACCAAACCACGCTGATACGTTGACGCGAATCTCTATGCTCAATGCCGCGTACAAGCATCCATATTACCTACGAACGCTCATGAAGCTATCGAGGCGGAACAAATTCGCAAACGCGCTCACGCTTTGATACAATTGGCCATACGGCGACAAATACCTGCGGCGTCGAGGGTTGACGGCTCCGAGGAAGATCTCCGCAGGGGAACGGCAGGAATCGACCAGAGAACAGCTCAGCTGTCGACCAGAGAAAAGCTCCCAGTGAGGGTGGACGAGAACAGCCCGTCTAGGCAGATGGAGATCAGCCCCAGGTTAGCAGCAGTGCAGTGGGTGTATGCAGATGGAGGTCAGCTCTAGGGTTAGCAGCAATGCAGTGGGTCCTTTTAGCTCAGGTTAGAGGACAGCTCAGTGAACAGCGGGAGAGACGTACCCAGGGCTAGAGTAGTATAGCAACTGCCGCTTTTCGGTAGACGCGCGCCGTTTCTCGCTTCTCCTTCCTTCTACTGCTCTCTCTGTCTCTCTCTCCTACTTCCCTCGCATCACAACTCACTCCCCACCCTTTTCTTTAACCTACTAGCCAACGCTGAACATGCCACTCGCCTATTCACCTAGGGTGAATATTTGCTTACTAAGTGGTGTGGGTCGTAGGAATTGCCTCTGTCTCTAACAGAAGGGGGCAAACTCGAGAGACGTGTCGACGAAGGGTTCCGGTAGCGGTTATGACTGTAACTACCCGTACCAGAGCGTCAGGTCCTGGGTACGTGGCGATTACACGGGCTAATGGCCATTATGCAGGAGGGTAACGTTCATCTCTCACGAGGACCATACTGCCAACTGCCAGGTTAGTCGTAGGGGAGCGCCACTTATTGCGTTTCTGCAACTGTTGGAGATACTCCTCTGACCAGCGTTTCCTAAAGTCGGTTTTCAGCCTTTGAAGAAGTTGGAAACAGTTAAGACGAGTAAGTGGTACATCCGGGTGCTCCTTGCCTGGGATCAGAAAGGAAGATTCCCCTATCAAAAGGTGAGCTAGGGTGAGAGCCTGCAGATCGTTCGCGTCCTCAGCGAGTGGAGTCAAGGGACGAGAATTGAGGCAAGCCTCAATCTTTGTTAACAAGGTGTACAATTCCTCGTAAGTGAGAGCGTGTTCCCCAATTGTTCGTTTTAGATGATGCTTGGTGGACTTCACGCCCGCTTTCCAAAGTCCTCCGCAGTGGGGCGAGCTTGGTGGGATAAAAGACCAAGTGGTACCGTCGTTAGCTAGTACAGCGGCCGCTCTCTGATAAAAGATATAAGCTCGATGGAACATATCCTTTAGTTCATGGTCAGCTCCATGAAAGGTGGTAGCGTTGTCGCTGAATAACCGTTTGCAGGGCTCGCGACGGCTGACAAACCGACGGAAGGCTGCGATAAATGCAGCAGAAGTGAGGTCGCTCACAAGCTTAAGATGGATAGCTCGAGTAGTAAAGTAATCAAAGAGTACTATGTACCCCTTGCTCGTACAGTTTCCTCGAATTTTGCTGGGTCTAACGGAGATGGGTCCTGCATAATCTAGTCCTGCCTTCAGAAAGGGGCGAGCGACAGTTACTCGGTCTGAAGGTAAATCCCCCATCATCTGATGAATCAGCTTAGGCTTCACCTTTTGACATGGGACACATTGACGTACTAAAGTCTTGACTATCTTGTTTCGGCCCGTGACCCATACCCATCGTGAAACAGTCGCTGATGTCAGAAGGGGTCCACCGAGGAGGCAAAGGAAATGAGCTCGCCGGACAAACAGGCGACTTAGAGCTGAACAGCCCTAGAGGATGGGGGGGTGTTTGCGATCAGTTGACAGGGTTGCCTTGGACAGACGCCCCCCAACTGGAAGGATTCCGGTTTCCAGATCAAAGATCGGATTGAGCTTGTTCAAAAAATGATGCTTTGGCAACGGCTTCTGTTGTGACAGGTTGCCCAAGTCTGTCGCAAAATCGTGTGATTGCGACAACCGGATAGCGACGTGGCGGGCTTGAGACAACTCGGCTGACGATAGAAAAGGGGCCAGGGGGGGTAAACCTGACCGTTTTGCTCGGAGAACTCGAAGAGGACGTAGGCAGTACGCGATAACTCGCTCCAGCTTGGACAGAGAAGAGAACCGAGTGAGCAATTCTGGCTCTTTTGGGGTCGAAATAGTGGTGAAAGCTCGAACCCTTTGAGCTTGTACCGGCCAACGAGGGGGATCCTGGAGCAGCCAGGATGGTCCATACCACCACAGACGGGAGCCGATCAGGCTCAAGGGTGTGCAACCCCGCGAGGCGAGATCAGCCGTATTTTCACTGGAGGGTACGTGAGACCAAGTAGCGGTAGGCAGTTCGGTTTGAGTGAATGCCACGCGGTTAACCACGAACGTTTTCCACTGCCGAGGGTGTTTGTTAAGCCAATCGAGGACGATCTGGCTATCGGTCCAAGCAAATACTGGTAATGGACGAAAGAAGTCAGAATTTCGAATATGACGGATTAACTTGACCAGAAGAGTGGCGGCGCACAACTCGAGGTTAGGTATGCTTAGGGTCTTGACGGGAGCTACCTTGGTCTTTGATATAAGCAAATTACTGTGGTGTCCGCCTGCCTTTGTTGTAACCTTGAGGTACAGATCTGCCGCCATGCCCTGTTTAGACGCGTCGGAAAACCCGTTGAGTTCGTATTTCTGATCAGTGCTTGTCCCAATCCAACGGGGAATGGTTAGCTCGTTTAGGTTGGGGAGGGACTCACGGTAGGAAATCCATTGTTTACGCATCTCAACGGGGATGAGTTCGTCCCAACCACAACGCAATATCCACAGATCTTGCATCAAGAACTTGGCTTTGACCACTACGGGTGAGACCCAGCCGAAAGGGTCATACAGTCGGGCGATTCGAGAAAGAACCATACGTTTGGTGACGTTCCCTTTAAGATCCTTAGGTGGGGTAACTTGGAACGTGAACTCGTCTTTCGAGGGGTTCTATTGAAGTCCCAATATCTTAACTACTCCATCTTCACCGACACCCTTTATGTAGCCGTTTGGCCCTTCACATTTACTCGTAGGAATAAGGTCAGGATGATTAGCGGACCACTTGTCCAACGTCATCCCCGCGGTGGCGAGAATAGATATGAGTTCCTTCCTCTTGTGCAAAGCTCCACTGAGAGTGTCATCCCCAACGAACATATCATCCACGTAGGTCCCTTCCTCAATGATTTGAGCTCCTTGGGGGAACTTTTGACGTTCGTCGGTAGCTAGTTGCCTGAGTGTGCGGATTGCTAAGAAGGGAGCGCAGTTAGTACCGTAAGTCACGGTAGTTAAGCGATAATCCACGGGAGGGACATCTGGGGAGGGAGCCCATAGAATTCTTTGATAGTCTTGATGAGCCGGCTCCATCCATATTTGCCTGAACATCCTCACGATGTCCGCTGTAAAAGCGTAGCGAGGTTTACGCCAATTAAGCTATACGAGCGGCAGCTCAGCTTGAAGGGGAGGACCGGAATGCAGGTAATCATTCAGTGAATGGCTTCGTGTTTTGCTGGATCCATCGAAAACGACTCTAACCTTTCTTTTATGGGGGGGACCGGTGACGACGGCATGATGAGGCAGGTACCAGGCTGATGGATTATTGACCGCGGCCGGAGGCACCTTAGCCATGTGTCCTTGAGCTTTGTAACAGGTTAAGAATTCGTGGTACTGATCACGGAGCCAGGAATCTTGGGTTAGGCGCCTATGTAAACTGGTCAGTGTCGCTAGAGCCGTCTGCCTTGTTTCTCGGCCCAGGGGGGGTATGCCCTCCTTGAGAGGCAATTGGACCATGTAGCGGCCATCCCGGTCACAGCTATGCGTCGTTTGATACTGCCACTCACAGTATTCTGAATTCGGCTCGGCTAAGGAAGAACTGGTCGCGACCTCATCTACGGTCCAAAACCTTTGGATGAGATCGCTGAGGTGATCCTCATACGTAGTGTGCAGAACGTGTATGGATTGAGGGCCTGGATTAACCGCCCGCCTTGGCAAGCTTTCAGATATGATTCCAGACACTATCCATCCTAGGGTGGTGTTTTGAGCAATCAGGTTTGTGTTAGGGAACCTCTTCAACCCTGATTTAAGGAGCTTGCCATAAACGTCCGCCCCAAGGATAACATCTACTGATCCTCCCTTCCAAAATTCTGGATCCGCTAACTCGAGCTTCCTTATAGCTGACGGTTGAAGAATTGGCGGGCTCCGATCTGAGAGGTGAGAAGTCAAACGGGGTAGCACAAGGGCGCTCAATTTAAGGGAGGGTTGAGTGGACCTTAGTGAACGTAGTCGGAGTGTCACTATTGCCTTAGAGACTCCGGAATGAGACGCTCCGATGCCTTCAAGGGTAATTTGAATGGGTATCTTCGGTAATCTCAACAATTGCACCATGGATTCGGTAACGAAAGAACTTTCGGATCCTTGATCTAGTAAGGCTCTAGCCTTGATTATCGTGCCCGAGGGTCCAAGTATCTCGATCTGAGCTGTAGCAAGAATCACTGACGAGATGGGCAAGGAAGGGGCCGAGTGGTAGGACTTGACATTGAATCCTGAATCCGAACCTTTAGGAGGTGGTAAATTGGATCCTGAAACGTTGCTCTGATCAAGCGATTTAGGCTTCTCAAGATGCAGCAGAGTATGGAGGGTGTCCTTACAGGTAAGGCAGCGAACAATTGATTTGCAGGCGTCAAACCGATGGTTTCCTAATCAGTTGAAACATAAGCTGAAACGGCGGGCTTCATTTTTCTTTTTAAAAGGTGTCAAGGCCTTGAACTGTGGGCATTTCCAAATTGGATGCACACCATTGCAGAGGGGACAAGCTGGGGAGTTTGAGCTTCTCAATTGCTTAGCTAAATGCGCCTTGCGTATATTGCCAGTGTTTGAAGCACCCTTGTTGTTATTCAGAGCAGGGTTAGATGCGGTCACCCTGGAACCTAATCCCAGCATACTTAATCCTTGCACTCGATTTTCTATAAATTCTATAAATTTAGCGAAAGTAGGGAAACGGTCAAGAGCGTTTAATTCAGTAGAACTAATGCTGGCGCGGGCTACCGCAGAACGGTCAGTGACACTCATGTCAAGTTCCCAGGCCTTCCTTGAAATGGTGTCCAAACGCCCAGACAAAAGGTGGATCAGCCACACGTTCCAGTGCTGGACCGGCATTTTGAGGTTCTCCAAAGCCCGGACTATGCGTTGTGCTTCGTCACTAAAAGTCCTTAAGTCCTTGGCAGACTCACGAGTCAAGTGGGGAAGAGCATAAAGTGCATTTAGTAAGTTATTGATGGTCAACCGACGATTGCAGAAACGCTCTCGCAAGGTCTTCCAAGTGGAAGTGTAGTTTTCTCCCTTCAGAGCTATATCTTTGACTAAATTAGAGGCTACCCCGGTGAGGCATGATTTTAAGTATTGTAATTTATTTACATCTGGAATCGACCCAACCTCGTGAAGTAAGGATTCGAACAGTCCAGAGAAACTCTCCCAATCTTCATAATTACCTGAGAAGGTAGGGAGCGCTAATTTAGGTAAGTGGGTCAATTGGTGGTCAATGTTGACGGAAACGTTCGATTCATTTTTTTCTCGGGGGTTAGAATCTTCTAGGGCCTCTAGCTCGGTGAGCACGTTTAACAGGACGTCCATGCAAGTCTCGTATTGCTTTGAAACAGCGATAAACGCCTCGGTGGTTACATACGGGTCGGAGGAAGCACCGTCAAGAACGATAATTTCAGCGTGCGTAGACCGGGCTTCATGCCACACTTTATCGAGAGCATGCATACGCTTGGTAATAGCGTGTTTTGTGAGAGAGTTGCGCACGTCGGCGGGAAGACTCGAAAAACGCTGACTCATAGTCTCTATTTCTTTGAAGCGCGCTGTTTGCAGCAGGACGGCCTTCTTCAGCGTAGATGGGCTCATAGTTGTTACGCAGGGGTACGCGCTATGGAACTAGACGCTTACGCTACGTGAGAATATATCAACAATTGTCAAGGTTAACTTAAGGGGTCTGCCTGTTAGTACTAATGCTACTGGAAGAGAGAGAGACAGAAAGCAAGACACACGCCGCTGAATCACGAAACCGACGCGCAATCGTAACACAGCCCGACATACAATTTCTCACCCGGGGCACCAAAAATGTTGTTGAAACAGCCAAACTATTCAAATATATGTGGTAAGGACAGGGTATGCCGGGAGATGCTAAGAAAGAACAATAGGCTATATTTAAGGAAATATATATTCTTTACATTTATATAACTTAGGCTTAACAATGTTAGTTAGCAATAAGCCAACACGCAGATTCCGGCATACAAATAAACAACACAACAAGACACTCGGACTCAGCTCTCGAATCACACACGACGAGCACACCACGCTGTTGCGTACAGTTATAGGTTATTCACGTGAACACGCGACGTTATGATTATACACTGGACGCGAAAGCAGCACACACGCTAAAAAGGTACACGCACACCCCGGAGTAGTACACGATTGATACAATGCCCGTGGGCGCGTTACACATACGCAGAAGCGGATACACAAGAAGGCAACGCACCAAACCACGCTGATACGTTGACGCGAATCTCTATGCTCAATGCCGCGTACAAGCATCCATATTACCTACGAACGCTCATGAAGCTATCGAGGCGGAACAAATTCGCAAACGCGCTCACGCTTTGATACAATTGGCCATACGGCGAC